TCTCTCTCTCTCTCTCTCTCTCTCCCTCTCTCTCTCGCTCTCCCTCTCTCTCTCTCCCTCTCTCCCTCTCGCTCTCTCCCTCTCTCTCTCCCTCTCTGTCGTGCAACTTGTTTTCGATGTTCGCTCTGCCACAGCCGGCAACTATCGTGGCTCAACGTGATTATCATCGTAGTCATTGTGTGGCTTCTGTGTGCGTGTGTGTGTGGTGCGTGATAATGAGGTTGTTTATCGTGGGCCGTGGCTGAGGAACAGCTGTTCGTCGTCGCCTGCTGGATGCTGTCGGCTCCGACTGAGCTCTGCAGTCGCTGCGAGCAGCTGTTGTTGTTGCTGCCGCTGCTGGCACTCGATTGGGGCGCCTGCGCCACTGGAAGCGGCTAAAGGTTTGTCACATGTTTTTGGCCACCTAGAAAACATCGCATGTTGCTTCCAATGTGCCACAAAAGGCAAGAGGCAAAAGGCAAAAGGCAAAAGCAGCAGCAACAACTGCCGCGAATTGGAAATGCTAGCGACATTGCAGTCGTGCGGCCGAGCAGCGAGCAGAGCAAAGCAGAGACAGTTAGCCAGCCAGTTCGTCTGTCAGTCAGCCAGCCAGCCAGTGAGTCAGTCAGTCAGTCAGCCAGTCAGTGTGTCAGCGTCGAGTGTATGAAATTTGTGCAACTGCCAGCAAGTTTAAATGTTCAATTGTTTAAAACATTTGCCAAGTGCTCCGCGTGCTCGCCTCACAAACTTGTGGCAATCAATCAATTAGCCCAAGACCCAGCCGCTGCCAAGGGGGCAGCCAAGACGCCCAGAAGCCAAGTCAATCTCTCCCAATCTGCACCAGACGACGCAGCAGCAGCAGCAGCAAGCAAAATAAGAATAACAACAACAACAACAACAACAGCAACACCAACACCAACAGCAATAACAAGAATTAGTATAAAAAAATCAATATCCGTCTAAAGTTTATTTCGGCTTAACTCAAATGGAACTAGAAGTTCAACAACAGCAACTGGAACAACAACAGCAGCAGCAACAACAACAACAACACTGAGAGCTACGATTAGTTAACTCAATTGATCCGCGCCTAAAAGTCCACGAAAAAACGCAAAACAAAACTGAATTCTGATAAAAAGTTACTAACAATTATCAATAAATATATATATATACATCATAGCCCCAGTTAATCATATAACTGTTTTTCAAATTTAAGCAACTTGCATTAAATTAAAAAAAAAAAACTGGCCAAACTATATCCAATTTAAATATTATAATTCATTTATATTCGCGCTTTTTGCTAAACTGCATTCGCTTACGCAATATATTAAAAAAAAAACTAAAAAAAAACAAAAGTAAAAAAAAAAATAAATAAAAAATACGCCTATTAAGTTTGTCAAATTTAAAAATATAAATAAAATATAAAAAAGTCCATTTTGTGCTAAGCTTAAAAGTAAACAAAACACGCCAAAATTAATTTTGAGAGAAGCTTTAACAATAAACAAAAAAATTTATTGCAAATTTAAATAAGTATGAAAATTAATTATTATTAAAATTAATTATAAATGCTGAACTGAACAAATAAATTAAAGTTGCTCCATCCATAGTGCAAAGTGAAGTTAAATACAAAATTATATAATATTAAAAAAACATAATTAAATATATATATATAAAAATCACATTTCAAAGGTTAGTAAGAGCTAGTAATAAATATATTAATTTGTTAAAATAACAAATACATTTTAATAATATTAAAAAAATTTTAATTTATTTTTATTTTTATTTTTTGTTAAACTGTCTCCTTATATATATTTATTTTTTCTATATATATACATTTTAATAATGTTAAAAAAATATATTTTTATTTTTATTTCTATTTTTTGTTAAACTGTCTCCTTATATTTATTTATTTTTTCTATATATATACATTTTAATAATATTAAAAAATATATATATATCTATTTTTATTTTTATTCTTTGTTAAACTGTCTCCTTATATTTATTTATTTTTTTTATAAATTCTTCAAAATATTGATTAATTATTATATATAGAATAGATTTCATAGATCAGAGATCAATATTGAAGTCTGTCAAATTGCAAGTTGCTTGAACTGTGGAAAGAGCGAGGCAGAGAGAGAGAGAGAGACAGGGGATATGATGCACTGTGCATATTTGCAATTTGCGATTTGCATTCCAAGACAAATTGCTCTTGACAGCGGCAAGCTGTTGGACACGTTCGATTCAAAACTCAACGGTTGATTGAGCGCACAGCTGAGCGAGACACACACACACACACGCACGCACACACACACGCACGCACACACAGCTAGACCGATTGAGAGCATGCAGCAGAGAGCGCGGCCCACAGCTGTTTGTGTGCGAAGAGAGAGAGCGAGAACAGCCGGCAAGCGCCAAAGCAACGGTAAAATCAATATTTACTTTGCTGGCAGCTGTTTGCAGCTGTATTGGTACGTTTCGCTGTGTGCGTGTGTGTGTGTGCGTGTGCTGCTGAATCAGATGGCTCGCCTTCCAGTCATTTTGCACAGCTTTAATGCTGCGTCTTATCGCCTTGATTTGAGTTTAGCAATTGCAATTAATAATTAGTTTTGTTTGGATAGCCTGCTGCTGGATAACGTGGGCTGATCCTGGGTCTAGCCCTCTGCCCGGATTGCCATTCAACTTTGGCATTTGCTGCGACTGGAAGTTGCGTAATTTCATTAGCGTTGCCCAATCGAATATCGTGCACATCGACTTCCAGTCGGTCGGCGTTTAGCGGCTTTTTCCTTCCACGTCCTTGTTTTTGTTTTTTTTTGTTTTTTGTTTTTGGCTCTGACACGAGGACGCGGCGTCGTTAACGAGATATCGTCGTCGACTGCTGCTGCTGCTGCTATGTACGTACATACATATATCCGCCGTGCTGTCCGGCAATTCGTGGTCAGCGTCTCAGTTGTTATCCGAGTGTCTTGTGCATTATATGAGTAACAATTCATAGTCCGTCGCACTTCTAAAACAAAGCACGTAAATATATATCTATATATAAACTGCGTGAATCTTGAAATAGAATAATATATGTTAATTGTATACAGTCGTTATAATTTACGAATATATTTGAGCAATAAATGTATGTGTGCTTGGCGCTTATTACAAATATTTTGTGGTATTTTTTTTTCAAGTTTCAAATAAAAATACAAATTTTGTGTTATTATGGAGAATTTGTATATGAATATAATAAATTTTGTATATGTGTATTTGCAAATATTACAATATACAAATAAATATTGTTTTAATTGATTATTAGCCGTCGATAAGATAACGAAATTTCTGTGCTATTAATCAGTAATATGCATATATAGACGAGCTTTTTATGGTCTAATGTTCTAACAATCTATCATAGGCAAATTTTCGCTGTTTCGGCTTTCAAGACCGAATAAAATCAGCTTGCATATCATACGATTTACGAAGTACGGTAAAAGATATACGATATAGGGGCTATACGGCATACGATGTAGAATATACGATATACGAAATGTGATATATGATATATGATATTCTCGTACTTCCATTTGGAAATATCCTATTGCGCCGCTCCTAATCCTCTATATAAAGGCAAAGATCACAAAAGCTATAAAAGATTTAATACGTCGATTTATTTTTTCATAAATTTTAACTTAGTATTCATTCATTGAATTTTACTTTAATATCTGTGCTAGAAAAAATTCCCTAAATTACAAATTTTATTTTTTAAATTTTCCTATGTATTTATTTATTTTTGTATTTGCTAAATTGCCTCATTTTGAGTGTGAACAAAGAAAGCTTCAAAACTCTAGCTAGATTTAAAGTAGGCAAAGAGTTGCGCGTATACGCTATTTGCATGGGTTAAAGTGCGAGAAGGGTGGCGGTAGGTGGGAGCAGGGAGGAGGCAGCTGGTCTGCAGGGGGAGTTATGCCTACTCTATTCGGCGAGGAGTCGAGTACTTAATGCGCCAACTCCAAAATGCCAAGGCGGCATATCGACAAAATCGACGACGACGGCGGCGCCGACGAGAATGACTGGCAAAATGTTAGCCGGCGCGGAACGGTTGGGCGGGCGGGCCATGGCGCCAGTAACGAGACGAGAGCAAACGAAACAGAACGAAATGAAACGACTGGGAAACGAGCCAGAAACGAATCGAAACGAATTGAAAGCGACGAGTGAGGCTCGTTTAGCCGGCAGCACGAATCGCAAGGACGAGGACGAGCCCTCCTCGGCCCAGCTGAGCCGACAACAACAACAAGAACAGCGGCAGTGGCAGCGACAGCAGCAGCAGCGGCAGCAACAGCGACAAACAACAGTTATAAAAGCTTTGGCAGCGCCGCACGCAGACGCAGGCTGGAATAGTTCCAATAACGGCAAATAAGCCACAGTCACAGCAACAGCAACAGCAACAACAAACGCTGAAGTTGCCGTGCAGCCCCAAAATCGGCGACGAACAGACGCCGCTGCTTCGCGTCGCTGCCGCAGTCGCAGTCACAGTCGCAGTCGCCGCTTGTTTCGCTGCCCAAACGCCGACGCCGCTTCGTTGTGCGAGTTGTTCCGGCCAAAGAATCAGTCGTCGTCGAGCTTTCAAAACGTTTGCAGCAAACGAAACAAGAAATAATACAAACGTACACAAATTGTGGCAGCAGCTAAAGAAGAAGTCGCAATAACAGCAACAGCAATAGCAGCAGCCGCCGCAGCAGCAACAGCAGCAGCTACAAAGTAAATTCAATTCGAATTTTGCAGAAGTTTAACAAAAAACTTGAATATTTTTTTTAACAATTTTTTTTTTTCGACTTGCAATTGATTACGGCAATTAAAGTGACAAATTTTTGTTTCGTGTATGCATGTAAGTGTGTGTGTGTGTGTGTGTGTGCGTGCGTGCCTCAAGTTGCTTTTGGTGCAACTTCGCAGTTGCGGCCTGGTTGGAGGTTTTCTTGTGGCTTCCTTGCGGTGATATCATATAACAAATTGCCACAGTTCTCTGTGGCTAGCAACTACAACACGTG